TCTGCTACCGCAACAAACACCTTGCTCTATCTATGGATATTGCAGCTTTGCAGTGAAATAGGGTTGGGTAGGGTGAAATATGCTCTAGTTAGACATATCCAAATTTCGTGTCATTCGGTCTACTAAGAAAAAAGTTATGAAGAGCGCTACTGTATAATATCGTGCTACTTCAAATCACTGATCACTTTTCAGTAGATAGAGCATTAGTGGAATGAATCGGCTGAATACAGCATGAATGTTCCAAAAAAATTCGAAGTTAATCAAGCCAATTCTAGGAGGAATGTCCTGTGGTCTTCCTTTATTCTTTTCGGCTTTTCGGTATTTGCTGGAATAATTGCGAGTGGTATTCTATCAAGTTTATCTGAATTACTTGGGTATGATATTTTGAGCGACTTCATCTTGAGAATTCTCGAAGCTCTTTCGGTAAGGCTTCTAAATTCAGTCTATCGCACTGGTCAATTTTCATCTACATTTAACTTCAAACTATTTAAAAGCGCTCGTAAAAAATTCCAGTGTTGTAACATTGGAAGTTTGCATGGGGTAGGGCGAACCTCAGCATTGAAAATTTTCTGAGTTTTTGTATTCATCTAATACTTTACCAAACATCAAAGTAGCTCCCAGAGCTGACGAATTATCGTAATACTGAAAAATTTACCAAATAAATATAGTGGAAATTCCAAATAAATAAATTGTTACAGCCGGTGGACTTCTTTTTCGCTGCTCTACCTCTTTGTTCTTGCTTATTCTATATAGTTGCCTTCAAAAAAATACGATCCATGCGAAGATCGAGTATCGGCTTCGAAGTAACAGACAAATTCGAAAGGACAATACTGAAGCAAGGTTTTCTAATCTGCATTTTTTACACGGTGAGTCCTAAATAATATTTGTGTATCATATGAATAAGATTCATGCAGTAGGTAATGAAACAATCGGTTTTTCATGCACAGAACCACAACAATTAACTTATAACGTCTTCATAATGAATAATTTTTACCTTGGGCAAAGCTAGAGGGCCTTATTTTTGTTTGCCTTGCCCAGTGCACTGATGCTAACTTTAAAATGACTTGGTTGGCCAGTAGGTGTGCAAGTCGGTGCCTTCTGTCTTCTCACGCGAGTCTGGTACCACTTGACCGATCCCGGAGGGATGGAAGACTTGATTGGCTAAGGCGGATACTCGAAACTCGGGTCCGAACTCCGAACCACGAATTCGTAATAGTGCACCACTCGCCACTACACCATTTCCGCTCTAACTTTGAATTATTTTCCAGATACCGGAAATGACGCTCGTCATCTCACAGTATAGTCTTGATGATTATGGTGAATTCTATTCACTTTCTCAACTGATTTTTTATGCTTCTATGAATCTGCCACCGATCGGATTTCCTCTTATTGTGTTTATATGCTCGAAGGAATTTCGAAAATTGTTTCTAGTAAACTGTTCCAAGCTACTTTCCCATACTCAAACCATTCACACTTTATCCACGAGTCGAGGTGAGTGACAATACTTCAAGACCAGTTCATGGATGATAGGAGTAAGGAACGACCCACATTTGACATGATGAACCTCACTGCTCCGAATAGGGATGGAATGAGAATTTCTCCTATTCTTACTCTGTTCTTTTCTCCCTTTACCCAGTCGATCCTG